TTGTAAATTTTAATTTTGAATTGGAAAGTTTAAAACTCTAGTCATATGTAATTTCCACTTTCAATTATCACAGTAATTACGAGATTAAATAAACAAGCAACTATACATAATTGACTTGAATCAAGTGAAAAATATGCAATCTACCATCTCGGGTTTTTCTACACGTGCCCTGGCAATGTAGAAGGGCTCTTTCCATTTAAACCATTCGGGACGCTATGGAAGACAACAAAGCCGAGACAGGACGGATTATAAAGTACAACCAGCACAAAAAGAAAAGAAAAAAAAAACCATAATTTCAATTTATTCAAGCTATTAGATAAACTGGTAAATGTAGAAGTATTTGAAACAATATGGGCCAGTAGCAGGAATAATGAAATGTAAAGACCATGGTAACACAGCGCAAAAACAAATTAAAAGAGAAGCAAAGAAACAAGGTCAAGAGTGTCCATACTTCTCATTCATCCTCGAGGATCTCTCTGTGCACGTGCATGCATGATGTGCTGCAGTACTTATAATTATACCGGTGAAAGGGTACTTTACCAACCAGTGACGTGTGGCAACACGAGCACAAAATATCAGTTCCTCCTGTATTACTTGGAGCATCAATTGATCCAGTGTCTCGAGCTTTGAGTGCTGCTATTCTTTTCTCAGCAGCAGCCGCTCTCTTTTCCCTCTCAGCGTCTTGAATTCTTTTCAGCTCTTCCTGGTAAAATGGGGGGAAACGAGGTTGCTTTAAGTGTACAAGGAGGATGGTTAGAAAAATTTAACAGTCTGTAAGACCATCAAAAGGCCTCCACACAAGGTGATGATATTACAGTCAAATAACTTAAATTCGTGGTTGCAATAAATTGCAATTGCAATAAGTTTTCGTCTCACCACAAGTCAAAAATATGATGCTCATAACCACTGAAAAAATAGTAAGTGTATGCAATGAAACCTCTTTAGAGATTATTGCAGGACGACTAGATTGAGAATGCCCTTTATGAGATGAAATTGGAGTGGCTCCACGACTTTCTGACACAACTGAAGTATTCTGGGATTCAGCAGCCACAGCCTGTCACCATCACATGAATGTTAGAAAGATGAAGCATCAAAGTTTCTAAGTTAACAAAATATATCATTTCTATGCATAAATAAATAAATATGGAGTTACGAAAGAAAGACGGGTAGTGTTCCTATTGTTTCATTTTAACAAATTTATTGTGATTCTCTTAGCATCTCAGTTTAACCATTAACTTGTTGGCCTAACGCGTAAAAAGAAGGACACACAATTTCACCCTAAAAAGTGGATGCAACACAAAGCAAAATATTGGAGAGGACTGAATTTAAATAAGTGTGTCTCTTGTCTAACAACTTAAGCTTTAAGATGAGGTAGTATCCCTCGGTGACAAAGTTAAATCATATTAATTTTAGCATAACAATTTTATTTGTTAAACATATAGAAACGACAGAGACTGATGGCTATTATTCCATAAGAAGTGAAAACTATAATTGAATTTCTATCATTTTTAAGAATTCACCTAGTACCTCTCCCCAACCAATGCGATGCATGCAAAATTACAATTGCAATAATATATACTATAAAAAAAAAAGCAACTTTCATCTCAAATGAACGGCCTTGAGGCTTTAAGCAACTAAACAGTTGAGAAAATTTCAGTTATAAATCTGAATAGATATTCAGAAATTGAAATATATACCTGAGCTTTCTTTTCTTTTGCTCTACGTAATTTTTTCCTCTCTTTTGCTTTTGCTTTCCTCTTGGCATCTTTCTCAGCCTGGCAAAATGCAAAATGAAGAAAATAAAATAAAAATAGAGTGCTTAAACACAAAACAAGCAAAAAATATGCAGGAGTAAATAATAAGCCGACATATTTGCCAAATGCCTCGAAGTGACAACCTTCTTGTTGCATCACGTTATCCATCCATGGAATGTCTATAGAAAACTACTAATTTGAGTGCTATTTTGGATTCAGGATTCACATATCAGAGAAACAGAATTTTCCAGAAAGAAATTTCACGCTGCATTCGTAAATCCTTCACTTCTTCATGAAAGAATACGACATTTTTGTGTAAACAACTTCGCTTTTTGAAAAAAAAAAAAAGAAAGAAAGAAAGAAAGTAAAAAAGGGGAAGAACTATTGGGGAACACACATTAAAGCATTTGAAACAGAGGTAATGCAACACGTGTTTTGATGGTAGAGAAATCCAATAGGTAAGCATGTAAATAAAACTTTGAATGGTCAACATTACATGAGGCAACTTTTGGCTTTCTGCAATATAGACAAAAAAAAAAAAGTCTCCCCAAGGGTGCAAATCAACAAGAGCAAAAATTCATAATTGATATTTTAAATTTTGATCATCTTGCTTGTTTAAATAAATTTAGTGGTACTTTTGAATAGGAATCCAGTTACAATGTAATTCAAGATTCCAATATGATGGGCATTTAAAGAATCCAGGTTGAAGGTGACTTTTTCCTAACTAAACTACTAAGTATTTAAGAAAAAGAAGAAAATCAATTAATTTATTTCTTGCGAACTGGGATTACAAGGAAAAAAGGAAGATGATTATTGAAGGAAAATCTGTTTAACATATTATTAATTTTGTATGAAATTGGGTACAAAATAGATTAAAAGAAACGGCATACACCATATCACCAAGGATTATAATATCTAAATATTTCACTGCTGGTGCTGAGACATTCCCTAATGCATTAGGATCACAGCTTATTATTGGAATCCATCTCTAACACATCAATTGACAACAGGAAGATAAACATTCAGACAAATTACCAGCATAATCAGCTTTCAAGTTAGGATGTTGAAAGCTACTGTCTAACAGAATGTCTGAGGAAGAAGGCAAAATTTTACAGAATTTGGTGTTTAATGCAATATCGTAATATTTGAAGCAACACCAGTACCTGTTTCGTAGCTTGGGATTCTTCCATCTCTTTCGTCAGTACACCAGGGACCTTAGAAGCTTGCCAATCCCACTTATCAAGGTTTGATGCCATGAAACGTCTAAAAGTATTCCTCACTTCCTTCTCACTGGCAAGCATATATGGAGTTCGCCCTCTCTCATCTTTAATACAAGGATCCAGACCCTGTTCCAGGAGCTCTAGAACTTTTTGAGGATTCCCAGACATTGCTGCTTCATGTAAAGCTGTAGATATTCCACCAATAAGGTCACCATCCATTTCTTCCTCACTTGATGCAGACAAATTATCTATCTTTTCGACACTGGAACAAGCTGCAATAGTTTCTCCAGTCTCCAACCTTTCCCTCAACTCCATTCCGCTGGAGTCAGGGTACCTACTGCTCACGACGGTTGCACCTGAGAATACATCCTCTTGTGTATTAATTGTTGTCTCCTCACTAATCTCAGGGGAAATTTGTGTCAACAAACTGTATACCCGTCTCGCTTCCCTAAATGTAGGTCTCCTAATAGTCAATGGAATATTTCGAATCGCCTGACGCTGACAGATAAAATAAGGTCTCTCTCCTTCAAAGAAAAGTTGACGATTATTTGAAGGAGCGTGTAAGAAAATGCAAGATGAAACCGAAAAATGAGGCTTCCATGCAGTAAGCAGTTCTTGAATATCCTGATTGGGAAGATAGAATTTAGTCCAGTATCCAAAAGTACATAAATACAATAGAAAAGCTTAGCATTCATGTTGAACCACTTCATCTACAAGCTTAAACAATTAGGAAGACAATAAATTATATTATAAAATTGTCTTCAACATGTCCCTCACGTGCATACCAAAATAATCAAAGGCCAATTTTCATATGCAAGTGATGACAAGAATTCACTTAGGTACTTTGAATTCTCTAAGACCCATGTAGAATTACCATATCTAAAAGCTTAAGCTGTTACGAAGAGAATAAATGTATTTATTTAATTGCGTATTCAACAATTCCTTGTTCAAAATCATGAAAGAATTCTTTCATAAGAGTGTGGATTACACTCTGCTGAAATTGAACTGCGTACATACCATGGATCCTTTTTTTTTTTTAATCAGTTTAATCTTGAACTCAGATCCCATAATTGCTAGGCATGATGTACAGAACTGTCAACCAGCACAAGAGTTGGGACTTTAGGTGTTAGACACAAATATGACATAATCCAACAAGCACTATATGATAACTTGGGAAGTCATGAACAATGGAGAGACAACTAAATATAGTTAGATTGAGAGTTTTAATCATTATGATCTTATCTTTTAGCTAGAGAATGTCTACATTCAATTAACTGGAAAATATTGCCAGCAAAAATACTAAAAATATCTCTTCTTAGTTTACGAGTCAACAATAATACCTTTCTAAGAGCGAGTTCATTGTATCTACGAAGCGATGCTCCAGCAGAATGAATACCCCGAGAACTTGCGTCTTTTGATGACTGCTTTTTACCAGCTTTGGCCCGTACAACATATCTACAAGAAAGAAACCAACATGTAAACCTTTGTTCTCCAGACAAACCTCAAACTAAAGATCAAAAGAAAATGCAGATTACACAACCAAAAAAGAGAGTTCCTGATAATCATGTCCAAAAGTGCATAATGATGTAGAAATAAACCTTTCCACAGAACAAGTGATAGACTGCTGAAGGTCAACCAGGTTGGGCTGCCTAAAATTTTCAATCAAAGTACTTTCACTTACTTCAACAAACTTAATGTGAAAAATAGATCAAGTGCATAAGGATTAGAGGTACTGGCAGGAATTCAGAAAGTGGAGCCAACTTATGGTGATGACTGCCAAAAAATACAAAACATAAAAGTTGCACAAATAATTATGAATCGGTGACAACACTATATGCACTCATCATTATCTGAATGAACTTCTACAAGCTCACATATTCATGCACTCCCATGGATGATCAGAGAGAGAAACTGAACAAACAAATAAGTGATACACAGAAATGGGGATTTGGTTATTATTGATCAATTATAGATACTATAAAAACGAATTGTCTATAGTCATCAAAATAGAAATAGCATCAATCATCATGCATATGCATCATGGAACAAAAGAAAGTTGCATTGTGTTCTTTCGATAACCCTAGGCATTTCAATAAAATGCTCAATGGAAACAAGCAACTTCTAATACAAGCAACTAACCTGTGGAATGTTTTGTGAGCTACAATTGAATTTCCATCAAATACACAGCCAGCAAAATGCCCACCCCTTGCAAGTAACACAATCCTCAAGTGAGTTTTATCTCTAGGTTCGCAGATGAGAGATTTCAGTTTTCCAGTCACTTCCCCATCGGTCAAATATGGCCTATGCACTCCACCATCTATGACAGCAGACTTGTCACTTTCGAATGAAATACTGACAGACTCATCAAGAAGTAAACTTTTCCAAACTGAAATTCTCTCCCCAGTCTGCAACTGTACAAGTATTTTATTCTTTGAAATTCCGCCAAATCCATGTTGCCTGTCATCGAAGTGTCCAGTTTCTCTCTCATCTTCGTCTTCTGATCCTGAAATGCTTGATATGTCATAGTCTTTGTTCAAAGAATCGGACGTTTCGTCAAAATCTTCCTCCTTAATAATTTCTTTTCCAGCAATACTTAGCTTTATCTGAGATCAAATGTTCACAGGTAGGTAAATCACTGGCATAATATAAACAATCATGTTTTGTGGGTCAGCGCAGAGAGGACATTTTGCAACTGTCCTGATCTCATTCGCACAAAACAAGGCAAAAGCAAATTACAGAAATCTCCTACAATATGAGTGTGTCACAATTAATGAGAGAGTCCAATTGACATCAGCAAAGAGAGCTTTCAAAAGTCATGTTTGTGCAAATCCAAGGATTTAAACCGGGACAACGGGTAGCAGAAAAAGCATATAGGCATGTGATTCTTATTAATAACAGTTTCAAAGCCAACGTCAAATGCAGGAAAAAAAAATAGAGTGAGAGAGAGAATGAAAGAGAGTTTATAGTTTCTCTAACACTGGATTATAATAGGTATAAAAGTACTACTTGCAAATTAATAATTGAACTGTTTATATTTGATATCATGAACTAATTCACTTGTAATGCTAATCCTCATAATTCCATACACTAGGGAAACAATTTGATCGAAATTCCCGTCCCAGCATAAGTTTTCATATAATATTGATTTGAACAATCTAATTCAAATCAAAATAAAAATTAATTTCAAGACCACAGAAAATTTATAACCTGAAATTCTCAAGAGAAAGTCAAGCTTCACCCAGTGTCACCAGTTTTAACAATTCTACCGTGATAAACAGGAAATTTCGAGGGCTCGTTGTTAATCAGCCATTGGCTCCACAAGGCTAAGTCCGACAAAACAACCACATATTTCCTGATTATAGAAGACGGTTAATTCACATAGGGCATGTTTGGTTTACTTAAAAGCCAGAAGTTGGCTTCTTTTTTGGCTTTTCCCAGCAGTACGAAGGGTTAAACTGCTCAGAGAAGCCAATTTTAGGCATATTTTGGCATTTAAAACATGCTCATAAGTCACAAGTTTAATTCAAATAATCAATTACTATCACACATAATTTTAAATAAAAAATTATCATGGTTAAATTAAAATTCCAAACAAAACAAAAAGCACTTGAAAAGTAAGAGGGAAGAGAGAATAATACATTGAAGCGATGAATGTCCGATTTGAAATGAGAGCGCTGGTCCTGGAGAGACTCGAACTCCACCTTGCAAGTGTTGCAGGACCATCTTTGAATAGCATTAACATTATTATTCTTATAACTACTGCTATTATTAACATCAACATCGTTATCCTCACTGATAATTTCCTCATCGGGATTTGATTCCTCAACCACATCGTCGGGGGTTTGGAGAGAGAGTTTGGAAGTATAATCGGAAAGAGACGCCGATGGGGAGTGGAGGAGGCGGCAGGAATCGAAGAAATCCTGCGGGAGTTCGAATACGGAACGATGCCGTTTTGGCTCGTCGTTGTTTTGTTTTGTTGGTTGATTTACAGCGTTCGCCATTGTCATCAAACGAAGCCTTTTGAGTTGATTTTGAGACTCAATAGGTACGAATTAAAGGATGTGCTGAGACTATGTTTGGCTAGATTATAAGTAACTTAAATTAATTTTATTATACTTTATGTCTTTTATATACTAAAATATTTTTATTATTTGTTAAATATATTTGAGATTTTATATCCCTATCCCTACTTCTATAAAAGAGGCAATCCATCGAGCATTATTCATTGTTGAAGCATTTTCATTTTCCCCATTTTACCCTTAATTCCCTACTTCTAAGAGCCAATCCGCTCTGTTCAGTTAGGCGGCCATGTGTGTGGAAAAAATGGCAGTATGGATATTTCACATTGGGATTCTTTGTTAAAAGACCCAGTCAAACAAAGTAGTTAGAAAAAAGACCCATTCTCATTGTTTATTGGTCAAATGGCCTCAATTAAAAAAT